TCCCCCTTCCTTGTGTCTCTCTCCTTGCATCCTCCTTCTCACATCCCCCCTTCACATCCCCCACCTCACACCCCTGTCCTCTCATTCCCCACCTCACATTCCTCCTCGTGCCTTCCTCCTCACATCCCCCTCCTCACATCCCTCTCCTTATGTCCCCCTCTTTGTATTTCACATCTCACTTCTTGCACCCCCCATCTCGCATCCCCCCTCCTTGCATCCCCTCTTCACATCCCTCTCCTTGCATTCCTCCCTCCCTGTGTCCTCCATCCTCACACCCCCTCTGTTTGGGGATGCCAGCTCCCTGTGGATGCAGCAATTCCGGCCAGCTCGTGTCTGCCTCGGCACCTTTGCGTGTCCCCTGCTGCTCTCCCAGCCTCGGTTTCCCCTTTTGGGCTCTGCCACCCCCTTCCCTGGGGGCACACAGGGATTCAGGGGCTGAACTCCCCCTTCAAAGCCCGCTGGCTCATCTCTGGGGGGACACTGAGCACCCCCAGCCCCAAAGCAGTGGAACACCAGCCCCATCCCAGCCCCAGGCTGCCGGTGCAGAGTCCAGAGGCCCCGAGAGAGACGGCAGATGGCCGGAGGGGAGGCGGCGGGGAGAGGCAGGTGCAGGGGAAAATTGCTTATTAGCTCCGGGACATTAAGCTCCCATTCTTTTGAGGGAGCTCAAAAAGCATCTTCTGACTGGCACAGAGCCGGGAAGCTGATCTGGGAGGAGGACATGGGGGTCTCCAGCCTCATCTCCTTGTTTTTCTGCTCCATCTCACGCTGGTATCACCCCCGAGGAACCCAGGGTGTAATAGCAGGCACAGGGCTGCAGGCACAGCTCACTACCTCTGGGTTATCTCCCAAAAAATGGGGGGAAAATAAATCTCCAATGTGTAGCAGGCACCAGACTCAAAGGCAGGGGAGCATGGAAGGAAAATGCAGAGAAATGGTCAGCACTTGGAGGAAGAGGAGCACCTGGAACCTCAAGAAACAGTTTTGCCAGTGACAAGTCAAATCCTCATGGATGAAGGTTGAAATGTGGGAATTGGCACCCTGAAGCCCCAGTGAGGGTCTAGTTTGGTGTGGGGAGGAGACGAGAGCACAGCACCTGTCCCTTTGTCCCCAAGCATGTGCAGAGTCTGGAAACTAGTCCCAGCACCTTGGGATGGATGGATGGATGGATGGATGGATGGATGGATGGATGGACGGACGGACAGGACTTGGAGAAACGTGGTCTAGTGGAAGGTATCCCTGGCCCAGGCAGAGAGTGGAACAAGATGAGCTTTAAGGTCCTTTTTGACCTAAACCAGTCTGTGATTCTATGGATAAACAGATGGATGGATGGATGGAGGGATGGATGATGGATGGGTGGATGGATGGATGGATGGATGGATGGATGGATGGATGGATGGATAGATGATGGATGGATTAATGGATGGATGGATGGATGGATGGATGGATGGATGGATGGATGGATGATGCACCACTCAAATACACCAAGCCCAGCAGCAGCATCTCCAAAAGGACCCAGCAGTGGCTCTGCCCTGCTCTTTCCTGGATGGATGGGGCTCCCACCTGAGCTCCAAGGGAGTACCCCAGCTCCCCCAGCACCCAGTGTTCCTCTCCTGGCTTGTCCCCTTGGCCTTATCCATGTCTGTGTCACCCTGCTTCCCTTCCTATCTTAACACTGCTCTATTTCTGGCAGCAGGAAACCCCTCCTGGGCTGATAACACTCTTTGAAAAGTGATCTGAAGAGTTTCCTCTCCTTCTTTCTAATACTGGAGGTAAGAAAAGCCTCAACCTTTTGGTTTTCCCAGGAGAA